GTTGGCTCATTCAACCTATGTACATTTAAGGTTATTATTGATAAGTATGATCCCGTTGGCATTTACTTTGTTGTTTTGGGTTTGAGTTTATACACCCTTTCTGTGTTTCCTGTCTGGAGAAGATCCTTTCACATTTGTTGAAGAGCTGGTTTGGTGGTTCAGAATTCTCTCAGCTTTTGCTTGTCTGTAAAGATTTTGAATTCTCCTTCATACCTGAATGAGATACTTGCTGGGTACAGTAATCTGGGTTGTAAGTTTTTTTCTTTCATCATGTTAAGTATGTCCTGCCATTTCCTTTTGGCCGGAAGAGTTTCTATTGAAATATCAGCTGTTATCCCTATGGGAATCCCCTTGTATGCTATTTTTTGTTTCTCCCTTGCTGCTTTTAATATCTGTTCTTTGTGCTTGATCTTTGTTAATTTGATTAATGTGTGTCTTGGGGTGTTTCAACTTGGATTTATCCTGTTTGGGACTCTCGGACTTGGGGGACTGTTTCCTTCCCCATTTTAGGTAAGTTTCCAACTATTAGCTCCTTAAGTATTTTCTCACGGCCTTTCTTTTTGTCTTCTTCTGGGACTCCTATGATTCGAATGTTGGTGTGTTTAACATTGTCCCAGAGGACTCTGAGTTTGTCCTCATTTCTTTTTATTTTTTCTTTTTCCCCCTCTGCTTCATTTACTTCTACCATTCTATCTTCTACCTCACTTATCCTATCTTCTGCCTCCGTTATTCTACTGTTGGTCCCCTCCAGAGTGTTTTTGATCTCATTTATTGCATTATTCATTATTGATTAACTCTTTATTTCTTCTAGGTCCTTGTTAAACATTTCTTTCATCGTCTGAATGCTTGTCTCCAGGCTATTTATCTGTAACTCCATTTTGTTTTCAAGATTTTGGATCATTTTTACTATCATTATTCTGAATTCTTTTTCAGACTCCCTATCTCCTCCTCTTTTGTTTGGTTTGGTGGGTATTTATCACGTTCCTTTACCTTCTGAGTATTTCTCTGTCCTTTCACCTTGTTTACATTGCTGTGTTTGGGGTGGCCTTTCTGTATTCTAGCAGTTTATGGTTCCTCTTTATTGTGGAGGTTCCTCACTGTGGGTGGGGTTGGACAGGTGGCTTGTCAAGGTTTCCCGGTTAGGGAAGCTTGCATTGGTGTTCTGGTGGGTGAAACTGGATTTCTTCTCTGTAGAGTGCAATGAAGTGTCCAGCAATGAGTTTTGAGATGTCAGTGCATTTGCTGTAACTTTGGGCAGCCTGTATCATGAAGCTCAGGGCTATGTCTCTGCATTTCTGGAGAGTTTGCATGGTATGTGTTGCTCTGGAACTTGTTGGCTCTTGGGTGGTGCTTGCTTTCAGTGTAGGTATGGAGGCTTTTGGATGAGGTCTTATTGATTAATGTTCCCTGGAGTCAGGAATTCTCTGGTGTTCTCAGGTTTTGGACTTAAGCCTCCTGCCTCTGGTTTTCAGTCTTATTCTTACAGCAGCCTCAAGACTTTTCCATCTATACAGCACCAATGATAAACCATCTAGGTTAATGATGAAAAGCTTCTCCAGAGTGAGGGACACCCGAAGAGGTTCACAGAGTTACATGGAGAAGAGAAGAGGGAGGAGGGCGATAGAAGTGACCAGGAGGAGAAGAGGGGGAATCAAAAGGAGAGCGAGAGCACGCTAGCCAGTAATCAATTCCCTATGTGGTCTCCACAGTCTGGACCTCTCAGAGAGGTTCACAGAGTTACAAGGAGAAGAGAATAGGGAGGAAAGAGACAGAGGTGACCAGGAGGAGAAAAGGGGGAATCAAAAGGAGAGAGACAGATCTAGCCAGTAATCAGTTCCCTAAGTGTTCTCCACAGCCGGGAACACACAAACAGGTTCACAGAATTAGGTAGAGAAGAGAAGGGAGAGGGAAGAGATAGAGGCAACCTGGTGGAGAAAAAGGAGAGTCAAAAGGGGGAGAGAGCAATCAAGCCAGTAATCACACTCCCAACCAAAAATGGGTGCTGAAGATTGGGTTCTTAAAGGTATAAAATTGATAACAAATACCAAAAAGCAAAGATTAAAAATCTACAGTAGAGGTTAGACTCTCAAGAATACAATATTAAAAAAACAAAACAAAGTCAGAAAAATTATAAAATATATATATAAAGTTTGCTTTAAAAACAAGGTTTTTTTTTTTGCAAGGTAAAAGTAGGTTATAACAATGAAAATTAAAGGTGTAATAGAGGACTTAAATATAAAAAAATTTTTTTAATTAAAAAAATGATAATAGTGAAAAAATATCTAGGAATTTCTCTGGAGCCATTGCAGACAGTGTGGGGTCAGTTCAGTTTCAGATATTTCTTGACCCAGTTTATACTTCTCAAGACCTCTAGGCCCCTTCCAATTAGTCGGTGCTAACTACAGGGCTTCAATCTGTTGCACCTGTCACTTCCAAAGCAGTTCCCTCTGTTTGTTTTAGCTTCTTCTGTTTGCTAGTCTCTTCAGTGTCTGACTTCCGGCCTGACAGAAGGGGGCAAACATTTTGGCTCACTTGTTCAGTCATGCTGTGGGGAGGGAGGAACACCGTGAACAAATATCACTGGCATGTGTGGCGAGTGCTCGCAGTGTCTCGGCTGCACTGAGTTTATCGCCACTCACGGCAAGTGTGCTTTCCCAGTCTACACTTCTGAGGCTCTAGGTTCCTCTGCTGGGGAGATGTCTGAGGCCCTGGGTTGCGTGCACTTCCCAGGTCTGAGCCGCTCAGGTTCAGGTTCTTGGGTAGTCCACAAAGGTGCAGAATCAGTTGGGCCTGCAGTGTTTGCCCTTCCCGGGGGCCGAGCGGCTCAGGTAACCAGGGGCTTGGCTAGCACAGTCTCCCCAGGTGGGGAGTGCGTCTCATCACCTCCCTGTCCCAGCCGCTTGGTTTCCTGGGTGGCAGTGGGCACGCCCATCTCAGGTGTGCCCTGTGTCTCTTCTGCGCAGCTGATCTCTGACTGCGCCCCTCCCGGTGGATGTCAACCGTCCAGAATCCCAAGAAGTCTTAGTTAACAACTGGGGACCTGCTTGCAGTTTGGTAAAGGATGCCTCTCTGGGGCAGGGATTGCCCCTTTCTGGCTCTGGCTGACCCCGCCTGCCTCCCTGTCTCTGGAGGGGGATGGGCCGATCCGCAGCTGGCTAGTTCTCCTCTGGTATTCGCTCAGTCCTTTGTTCTGTGAGTGGGCCTGGCAGTGCCTTAGGTTAGAGCTTTTGCAGGATAGTTCTCTCTCTTTTTTTTCTCTCTCCTTCTGGCTATACCACAGTTTGGGTTGCTATCTGACATTAGTTCCCTCAGATTGCCCTCAGGGCATTCAGGCCCAGTCCTTACCCTAAGCAATGCAGCCTTGTTCAGCCACTTGCTGGTGGTGGATGTGAGTGCTGGGAGTTGCCATCAGGCATGTAATCTGTGGGTTTAATTTATCTGTTTATTTATTTATTTTTCCTCCTGGTTATGTTGCCCTCTGAGATTCCAAAACTCCCCACAGACCCGCTGGTGAGAGTGTTGCCTCCTGTTTGGAAACTTCTCCTCTTTTAAGACTCCCTTCCTGGGACGGATCTCCATCCCTACCTCTTCTGTCGATCTTTTTATCTTTATATTTTGTCCTACCTCCTTTTGAGGACAATGGGCTGCCTTCTGGGTGCCTGATGTCCTCTGCGAGCATTCAGAAGTTGTTTTGTGAATTTGTTCGGTGTTCAAATGTTCTTTCCATGAATTTATCAGGGAGAATGTGGTCTCCCTGTCCTATTCCTCTGCCATCTTAGGACTGCCCCCCAAAATGGTAATGAAACCCAATGCAATATTACCCAGCCATTAAAATGAATGAAATAATGCCATTTGCAGCACCATGGATGGACCTAAGGATTATCATACTAAATGAAGGAAGCCAGACAGAGATAAGCAAATAGAATACAATATCGCTTCTATTTGGAATCTTTTTTTTTTTAAAGGTCCAAATAAACTTATTTACAAACCAGAAAGAGACTCACTGACATAGAAAACAAACTTATGATTATCAAACGGGAAAAGGGGGAAGAGGGATGAATTAGGAAGTTTGAATTAACAGGTACACACTACCATATATAAAATAGCTAAACAATAAGGACCTAGTGTACAGAACAGGGAACTACACTCAATATTTTGAAATAACGTATAAGGGGAAAGAATCTGAAAAAGAAAAAAAGAAATAACTGAATCACTTTGCTGTGTACACCTGAAGATAACATAATGTATAATTCAATCTTTAAAAATATCTTAATTAAAAAAGCAAAACAAAAACAAACAAAAAGCCCTCATTTAAACTGGACTAAGAATTTGCACATGGATTGTTTCTACATTTGAGCCCATGGTGCAAGTATCATAGGCATAAAAAGTATGCCTGGAAAACCTTTACCCTTTATATACTGAAGGATCAGAAGTGGAAGTTTATTTATTTATTTAGTCTGTGCTGAGTCTTCGTTGTTGCATGAGGGCTTTCTCTAGGTGCAGTGAGCTTGGGCTCCTCACTGTGGTGGTTTCTCTTGCAGAGCACAGGCTCTAGGCACACAGGCTCAGAAATTGTGGTGCATGGGCTTAGTTGCCCTGTGTTATGTGGGATCTTCCCGACCCAGGAATCAAACTGGAGTCTCCTGTGTTGGCAGCCGGATTCTTTACCATCATGTCACCAGGGAAGCCCAAAATATACACTACTATATATAAAATAGGGAACTAATAAGGACCTAGAGGGAATTCCCAGATGGTCCAGTGATCAAGACTAAGTCCTTTCTAGGCAGGGAAAAGGGGTTCAATCCCTGGGTGGGGAACCAAGTCCCACATACCCCGAGGCTTGGTTTACAACAAACATTGAACAGACCTACTGTATAGCACAGGGAACTCTAGTCAATATTTTGTAATGGCCTATATGGGAAAAGAATCTAGGAAGAGTAGATATACATATAAATGTATAACTGATTCACTTTTTTTATACACCTAGAAATAACACAACACTGTAAATCAACTATAATTTGATAAAATTTAAAAAACATACAGTTTACATTTTTCTGATAAGATTAGGCAATACTGAGTTCTTCATGTACAGAAAGCAGAGACTGGATACAATGGAGTCACGGCTCATGAGCAGAAAGGGGCTGATAAAGGGAAAACACACAGAAATCAGGCCAGTTGTATACACCAACCATGAACCGGGATTACGATAAAGAGCAAAACTAACATTAAAGATGCAGGACAGGGTGTGGAAACACATGAAGGTGCTCGCCAAGAGTAGGATGCTTTGGGTGGCTCTGGACTCAGCGGAGGATCTGGGAGACACACTAGCCTTGTGAATATACAGGACTCGCTGACTGTGTCTGTACAGGGTGAGAATCATGGAGCCACTGGCCCAGAAGATAAGCACAGAAAATGACATTTCAGGGAACACTATCAAAGCTACATATATTGAGCCTGAGATGTTCTCAACATCTGTGTCAGAACAGTACCCTGAATCTCTTGTATTTCTCATGTTTGTGCTGCGCCTTTTGTCAGAAACATATAATGCATACAGAGGAAAAAAGAGATGTACAAACATGCACTGGATCCAACAGAATGAAATGAAGAAGGTGATGTACTTTGGGGCTTTGACTTTAAGATTCTTCCAACAGGAGTTCATGGGGCTGATTGTGACGGTCTGAAACACACTCAAGAGGCAGGTGGTGCCGATGGACATACTCCTGCCCACTCTCTCAACATATAAAATAAGTTTGCAGGCAAAATCACTAGCAAAATGTTTCAACCTCAAAGTTGTAATTGTCTGAGGGACTCCTTTTGAGAGCATGACCAAAATGTTGGCAATAGCCAGGTGATTGCAAATCAAAACTGTGACCCTCATCCTGCACTGAGTGTGGTAAAGAGAGAGGTGATGGTACAGAAGGGAGAAGTTGCCCCAGATCCCAAGCACAGTTTGTAACAAGAAGGTTATTCCTATGGCCAGTTGGCTGGAGGCTGTTGTATCATTCAAGATACTCCCCTTTAAATGATGGCAACAGTGATGCCTTAGAGCAGGATGGTTTATATAAATCTGTGACATCGACAGCCAAATTTCCTTGTGTGATTTGTGAAATTGCCAAGGCTTCATGTGACAGGAAACGATGATGAAAGGATCAGTATATTTTATGAAAAAGTCAGCAGGATGGATGAAGTGGTGGTGACCTGGAGGCAGCAATGACAACTGAGAGTAAATGGAAAGATAACATGAAACAACACTTTAAGAAGAAGCTTACTGGAGGGAAAAATATCTCCATCACCGCCTTCATCATAAAAGAGGTCAATTCTAAATGCATTCCCTTCTAAATTTTAAAGAAGATTATATATTATTATTGTAGGGGCTTCCATGATGACTCAGTTTGTAAAGAAAATCTGCTTTCAATGCAGGAGACCCCGGTTCAATTCCTGCATCGGGAAGATCTGCTGGAGAAGCCATAGGCTTCCCACTCCAGTATTCTTGGGCTTCCCATGTGGCTCAGCTGGTATTTTAAAGAAGATAATGTATTATTTTAGAAAAAAAACAGGAGTTATTCTAGGGTCTTAGAATTTAAAATATATGCTAAAGGTACTTCCCTGGTTGTCTGGTAGCTAAGAATCTGCCTTGTAAAGCAGGGAACATAGATTTGATTCCTGGTTGGGCAACTCAGACCCTATATGCCACAGGGTAACTAAGCCTGGGATGTGCATCTAGAGAGTCTGTGCACCACAACAAAAAATCTTGCATGATACAACAAGACTCCTGTATGATGTAACTAAGACCCAATGCAGCTAAATAAATAAATATTTAAAATATATATATCCACTAAACAGAACAGAATATATAAAACATATGGTGAAGTAACTTTTGCACACATGAAAATTAAGACCTGTTTTCTCATCAATACACATACACACACAAAGATCCAACTTAGAACCACACAAGCATGTCCTAAAAACCACAATATAGAATATATAGTATATAGAGTCTTTCAAGAGAATCCTTGAGAAAGAATTTATTCAATGGATAAGACATGTGGAAAATATTCCACGTCCTTGGCAATCAGGTCAATTGAAATATACCGCTGCCTATATGTCATCAAATACCATCAAGAAATCTGAAACAGAAATGACAGAAATGCTATGTTTTGGCATAGCTGTGGATGAACCAAGAATCTCATACACTGATGGTGGGTGTTCAAATTGGTACACACATTTTGGAAAACTATTGTTATCTACTTAGCAGATCAGATGTAATCCTGTTCTGAGAAATCTGCTCCTATGAATATACTCAATAGAATTTTGTACATGTATCACCCAAGGATTAGTTATATTAATAGAATTTATATGAGAGCCCTAATTATTACTTGTAATAGCCCCTAACTCTTAAAACCCACCTATCGATTAACAGTTGAATGATCAATTAATGCTTTTATAGTCACAGAATGAAGTCCAATATAGCAATGATAATGAAAAGACAACAATAATATAAAACAATACAGGTAAAGTCACAAAGATGGAATGGAGGAGAAAGTCCAAGTGAAAGATGTTGTATGATTTCTTTCATGTGGAGGCCAAGAGAGGCAAAGTGATCCAATATTAAATGTCATAATAGTTGTAATTGTATACTGAATAATCCAGGCCTACAAATATACCTAACAAAGCTATAGCCTTGGAAACAGTGAGTTAGAAAGGACACAAGAGAGTTTCATGGAAACTGAGAACATTCTGTTTCTTGATCTAGTTGTGGTTTCCAGATGTGCAATAATTCCTGTTATTTCACTGAGTTTCGCACATATAACCTGTGAACATGCCTTTAGTTTTTAAAAACACATCTATTGTGAAGAAATGTGGAAGGAGCTTGGGAAAGCCTGTGTCTGTGAATGTGTCTCATCTGTGTCTGCCAAGGAGGGGAGCTGTAAGCCCAGATCATAACTCCAACAATGAAACATCAGAGAATAGTAACACTGCTGCATACAGTGAATCACTGATTTTGTTATAAAATTCAGCTGATCAGTATCCTAAGTCTTCATGCTTTGTGTTGATATGTTGTTCCATTTGGCATCATATCCATGGGGAAAATAATGTTTACACAGAGATATGACTTGTGACCACACAGTCTTCTCCTAAAGACCAGGAAATATAATGGACAGTTGACATAATCTTCAAACAGAAACTTCAAGAAAGAAGTTACATACTGTCCAGTAGTGCAAAGTGGAGACCCTGATATGCTCAGGAGCTTTATTTTTTAAGAGGATTTTATTTATTTCATCCTATTCATTTATTTATTTGGCTGCACCAGGGCTTAGTTAATGGTATGTAAACTCTCAGTTATGGCATGTGGCTTCTACTTCCCTGACCAGGGTTTGAACCTGAACCCCCTGCATTGGGAGCACAGTGTTAACCTCTGGACCACAGGGAAGCTTTTTCTTTAAGTTCCACCCGCCTGGATTTCCTGGGGCTGATCTTGATGGCTGGAGACACTTAAGGGCAGTGGTTCCAATGGACACACCCTGCCAGCTCTGGGGGCATAGAGATCACATTTGCATGGCTAAATCCCTGAAGACAAGCTTCAGTTAAAGGCTGCTGTTGTCATGGAGATGCTTTTAAAGGGAATGACCAAAAAGTGACTCTAGTCCTGTGCCTGAAAGTTAATCTGTGTACCTCAACTCACATTCAATGTAGTGTAGGAAGAAATTAAGATAAAGAGAAAAAATGCCTAGGATTCCAACTATAGTCTGAAATGAGCACACCGTTCTTAATGCCAACTCCCATTCTGCCAGTTGTTTGATGTACATAACTGCATGGGGTAGGTACTGGCACTGATTTATTGCAAAGATAAGGAGATCCTAGGTAGAGAGAGGTCAGGTGATCTGTCTAAATTCACATGCTGATTACAGGCTGAGTTGCGGTATGAACCTTGTAGGCTGAGTCCAAGACAGTGGCCTAACTACTGTGATGCACCAACCAAGCACATCAGCTGTTTTTGAATAATCCAGTGTGAAATTTAGTTTTGTTTTTATATCATACAGTTAATTCTATCAGTTCAGTCCAGTCACTCAGTTGTGTCTGACTATTTGCAACCCCATGGACGGTAGCACAGCAGGCTTCCCTATCTATCACCAACTCCTGGAGCTTGCTCAAAGTCATGTCCATTGAGTCCATGATGCCATCCAACCGTCTCATCCTCTGTCATCCCCTTCTCCTCCTGCATTCAATCTTTCCCTGCTCAGGGTCTTTTGCAATGGGTCAGTTCTTCTCATCAAGTGGCTAAAATATTAGAGTTTATTCCATACCTTTTATATATGATAATTTTGGTTGTAAATAGTTTCCATAACTGCATAAGTATTTATTCTGTAGGCAAATAACATATCAAGAAGATTCCCTGGATTGGATATGGCAACCCACTCCAGTATTCTAAGTGGGTTCTTAGGAAATCCTAAGAACAGAGGAACCTGGAACAAGGAACCTTGTCTGTGGGGTCACAAACTGAGCCACTAACACACATACACACAAACTTATAGGAAAGTACTTCCTGCCCATATTAGATATAATGAATGCAAGATTTCCTCAATATAAGTTTTGCAACAGAAAGGTATATTCCTGTCATGCCAGGCACAAATTCACTATGGTATCTATCAAAAAAGACTTGGACAATATTACTTTATTTAAAAAACTATGAACATGAATTACTACTAAATGATAAATGAGTATAGGATAGAAATGAAATAATTATTTTTGTCTAAACCCTTAGGTAGTTTTTAAAATCAAGGTTAAGTGAGACAACAATATAACTTGATTTGTGAAGAATATTAATATATCAGGCACATGTAAAAGTATAATCTGGAAAATATTGACTCATGTGTTGCAAAGGTGGAAGCATAAAGAAATGAAGGTGTGTTTGGAATTGGTGTTAGAATATGAGATTAGACAACATATGAGAATATACATTTGGTCCTGACAACTATATTCCAAATCTCACCATTATAAAGCTGCCTTTTCCTGAAATGCTGCTTCTCTATCTTGAAGAGGGATAGCAATCTCGCCACTGTTATCAAACCTCAAGTGTTTCAGATAAGCACGTTATATGCCTAGAGTTAGATATATATGTAAAAAAATCCCTTCTGTTCTTCAAACATATTCATATTTATGCTTTCTGTAGAGGATTAGAAAATCATTGCTTTTCTATGCTAGTCTTTATGGAAAGCATAAAGGCATTATGATAACGCTTTTAATACAAATTTAAAATTAGTCTAGAATTTCTGAAAGGTAATGTTAGAGCAGATTAAACTTAAAAATACAACCCTTAAGCTGTGTCAACATGATGTTTTAGCACTTCCCAGTGTCCAGTGGCCGAGACTCAGTGCTCCCAATGCAGGGAGCCTGGGTTTGACTCCTGGTGAGGAAAATAGATCCCACATGCTGCAACTAAGAGTCCACATGCTGCAAGTAAAATAAGTACTTTTAAAAATAATCCTCATTATTATCAATAGGATTGTTCCTTGAGTCCTCCACTGTAAGAGTTTCACAAATAGCTTTAGGAGCTGTCAGGTTCGATGTTGCCTGATGCTGGGAAAGACTGAAGGCAGGAGGAGAAGGGGACGACAAAGGAAGAGATGGGTGGATGGCATCACCGACTCAATGGACATGAGTCTGAGCAAACTCTGGGAGATAGTGAAGGACAGGGAAGTCTGGTGTGCTGCAGTCAATGGGGATGCAAAGAGTCGGACCCAACTGAGCAACTGAACAACATCAAAGGTCTGATCTCGCTTTACCTAAACCCTCTCCTAAGGAACTGTTCTACCTTCCTGACTCTACCCCCAGCCCAAAGAAAGATCCCTTTTCCAAACATGAACACTTACTCAGACCTCCTTCCTTACAGACTCTGCCTCTTAGACTGAAATACAAAGTACTCGACTCCTTCTCACTCCTTCTCATGAGAAGGATGCTGGTCTCAGGATCAAGGTCATGGCAGCCAGGACGTGAGTGGGAGGGAGGCAGTCAGACCCTGAGATATATGTTTATGAGCTGTGATCTCATCCTCCTTCAGAACTGCAATTATCATTTCACTTGAAGTGGCAATGACAGGGCCGGCTTGAGAAGGTAATGATCTTTCTGAAAAACTTTTTCTGCGTTGCTAATTACTCCCTGTGAGTATCTCCAAAGAGACCACTGATGTGTTTGAGAGAAGCTCATGATTTTTCATGATGAGGGTTATTTTGAAATGATGAGGATTGCTACACAACTCTGAAATCTGTTGCCTTCATAAACAGGTTTTTTGATCTTAGGGATACCCCCACAACCTCCCCCAACCCATTTAAGAAAGTCAATTGTGAGTCTTCCAGGCTTTGTTCTGGAAACAAACAAAAAACACCCAATTAAATTTGAACAGAACATAAGAATTTTATATGTGTGTGTTCATTTATTCATTTACTTGGCTGTGCTGGGTTTTAGTTGGCATGCACAGTATTAGTTTCAGCATGTGGGATCTAGTTCCCTGATCAGGGATCAAACTTGCGCACCCCCTGCAATGGGAGCTTGGAGTCTCAGCCACCAGACCACCAGGGAAGTCCCTGTATGGGACCTTCTTTCTTGTACTCAAAACAGCTCTACCTCTTCTTCTCTTTCCTGCATCTCTGATCCTACACTGGACTATGCAGTTTTAGATCCTGGGTAAGGACTTAGATTCATGTTAGAGGTAGAAAAATAGAAATGATAGTGAAGGAATATCTTTGGGTCTTGGAGGTGGCTTTTCAGTTTTGGCTGCAGCACTCATCTGTCTTTGAAGCACTCTCATGGCCTTTGCTCATGGTACACAGAAGGCTTCTAGTCAGTGACATATCCACCATGGCTCACTTTGGGCTTAGACCCAAATCCTTGAGTTTACCTTTTATCCACCATTTACAGTTCACACCTCAACTCCATTTTCTGCCCTGGAAGTAGGCTGATGATTGCCTTCAGCTCAGTCACTCAGTCATTTCAAACTCTCTGTGACCCATGGACTTCTGCACACCAGGCTTCCCTGTCCATTACAAACTTCCAGAGTCTGCTGAAACTCATGTCCATCAAGTTGGTGATGCCATCCAACCATCTCATCCTCTGTCATCCCCTTCTCTTCCCACCTTCAGTCTTTCCCAACCTCAAGGTCTTTTCCAGTGAGTCAGTTCTTAGCATCAGGTGGCCAAAGTATTGGAGCTTCAGCATCAGTCCTTCTAATGAATATACAGGACTGATATCCTTTAGGATGGACTGGTTGGATCTTCTTGCAGTCCAAGGGACTCTCAAAAGTCTTCTCCAACACCACAATTCAAAAGCATCAATTCTTTGGCACTCAGCTTTCTTGATGGTCCAAGTCTCATATCCATACACGACTACTGGAAACACCATAGCTTTGAGTAGATCGACCTTTGACAGCAAAGTAATGTTTCTGCTTTTTCATATGCTGTCCTGGTTGGTTATAGCTTTACTTCCAAGGAGCAAGTGTCTTTTAATTTCATGGCTACAGCCACCATCTTCAGTGATTTTGGAGCCCAAGAAAATAAAGTCTGTCACTGTTTCCATTGTTTCCCCTTCCATTTGCCATGAAGTGATGGGACTGGATGCCATGATCTTTGTTTTTTGAATGTTTAGTTTTAAGCCAGCTTTTCACTCTCCTATTTCACTTTCTTCAAGAGGCTCTTCAGTTCCTCTTTGCTTTCTGCCATAAGTGTGGTGTCATCTGCGGATCTGAGGTTATTGATATTTGTCCCGGCAATCTTGATTCCAGGTTGTGCTTCATCCAGCCCAGCTTTTTGCATGAAGTACTCTGCATATCAGTTAAATAAACAGGGTGACAACACACAGCTTTGACATACTCCTTTCCCAATTTGGAACCAGTCTGGTTTTTCATGTCTTGTTCTAACTTTTGCTTCTTGACCTGAATACAGATTTCTCTGGAGGCAGGTAAGGTGTTCTGGTATTCCCATCTCTTGAGGAATTTCCCACAGTTTGTTGTGATCCACAAAGTCAGAGGCTTATGCTCCTGAGTCCTGAGTTTCAGTGTCTCTACTGTGCATGAAGAAAGCTCTGGTTTTAAAGGATTTGGAATTAGTCAGAGACAGACTGTGTCATACCTTTTTGCAAAGGAATTTCTACTTATTTCTTTACTGGGGGGTAAATCAGTGAAATATATGCCTGATCCTTTTGAGGGATTTTGCCATTTAGGTGGCAGAAATGGATGATCCTGCTCACATTTTTATTGTCTGAATAGGGCAGGAAAATTACCCACTGGAATGGGAGATCCCAGTTCTTCCTTCTGTCCTTAATGTTTTTCCTGATTTCAATCTTCTAGGCTCATTGCTTCTTTCAGAGGTGAAGCTTTGGGCTCTGGGCTCTAGGGATCCAAGGACACCTGGCTGTCCCTTCTGCCCTCCACATGGCTTTAAGAACCCCTGGGAAGCTACCATATTTTTCCCAAGGACAGTCTGGAGATGGGACAATGAGTCAGTCATGAAAAGCCAAGTTTTCTGATACAAGGATGGTGTGACGGCAACTCTGAAGCTTGCTCTGGAGCTCTACCCTCAGTTTTACAATGCGCTCACTAGCAGATGGGTTTTAAGGATTGACATCAGCATGCAGGGTAGAGGAGAGCATGGTGAGCTTAGTGGAGCCCTCAGTTGAGTTCTCCTCATGTAAATTTTGGACTGTTTTCCACCATGTCTCAAAACTCTTCTCCTAATATTGGTTGAGGACCAGAGAACTTCTCAGGCTTAACTTTCGTCCTGAATCTATGACATTTCTGTCACTTGCTACTCTCTGCTGGAGCTGCTAATTTCCTGTATACCAAAGAAGCAGCCCTCTGGGGACTTCACTGGTGGTCCAGTGGTTAAGGCTCTGCACTCCAAATGCAGGATTCTAGGTTCAATCCCCTGGTTGGGGAACTCTTCCCCTCAAGGTGCAGCTAAGTGTTGGCCTGCAGCAACTAGTGAACCTGCATGCTGCAACTACGACCTGGCATAGCTAAATAAATAAATGAAAATATTAAAAAGTGCCCTCTCCCCCAAATATGATACTATACCCATCTTATGAGATTCTTTTTTTTTTTTTTTATTAGTTGGAGGCTAATTACTTTACATCATTACAGTAGTTTTTGTTATACATTGATATGAATTAGCCATGGATTTACATGTATTCCCCATCCCAGTCCCCCCTCCCACCTCCCTCTCCACCCGATCCCTCTGGGTCTTCCCAGTGCACCAGGCCCGAGCACTTGTCTCATGCACCCAACCTGGGCTGGTGATCTGTTTCACCCTAGATAATATACATGTTTCGATGCTGTTCTCTTGAAACATCCCACCCTCGCCTTCTCCCAGAGTCCACAAGTCTGTTCTATACATCTGAGTCTCTTTTTCTGTTTTGCATATAGGGTTATCGTTACCATCTTTCTAAATTCCATATATATGTGTTAGTATACTGTAATGGTCTTTATCTTTCTGGCTTACTTCGCTCTGTATAATGGGCTCCAGTTTCATCCATCTCATTAGAACTGATTCAAATGAATTCTTTTTAATGGCTGAGTAATATTCCATGGTGTATATGTACCACAGCTTCCTCATCCATTCGTCTGCTGATGGGCATCTGGGTTGCTTCCATGTCCTGGCTATTATAAACAGTGCTGCGATGAACATTGGGATTCTTCATTTTTTAAGACACAAACATATCAGCAAAAATCTGGAATAAGTTCTCACAACTCCATACTAAGTAAAGTAAGTCAGACAGAGAAAGACAAATATATGATATCACTCATATGTGGAATCTAATGAATTATTATTTTTTAGAATCTTATTTGAGAATGATACAAATGAACTTATTTACAAAACAGAAAGAGACTCACAGACTTAGATAACAAAATGGTTGTCTAAGTGAGGGGGAAGATTGAGGGAAAGAAATAGAGAATTTGGGATGGGCATGTACACACTGCTGTATTAAAAATGGATAACCAACAAGGAGTTACTATTTAGCAGAGGGAACTCTGGTCAATGTTATGTGGCAGCATGGATGGGAGGGGAGTTTGAGGGAGAATGGATACACATATATGTATGGTTGAGTCCCTTTGCTATCTCCCTGAAGTTTCACAACATTGTTAATCGATGATACTCCAATACAGAATTTAAAAATTTTTTTTTTTAAAAGTACTATGACAGGTTACTAGGCATCAGAAAGAGGCAGAGCTCTTTATTCCTCTCCACTCTGCCAATGTATGTTCTGTATTCACCAATGATGAAATACCCACACTCATTACTTTGAAAGACATGTGGCTTCCTTGTATACTGTCCATTGGCCTTATGCTCATGAGTGAATGAATATCCGACAGTTGTGGAAAAATAACATCATGGACCTAGAGTCTGTCATACTAAGTGAGGTAAGTCAGACAGAGAAAGACAAATATATGATATCACTCATATATGGAACCTAATTTATTATTATTTTTTGGAATTGAATTAAAGAATGATACAAATAACTTATTTAGAAAAGAGGAAGAGACTCAGATTTCAAAAACAAGCTTATGGTTACCAAAGGGGAAATGTGGGAGGGAGAGATAAATTAGGAGTTTGGGATTAACAGATACACAGTACTATATATAAAATAAATAACCAACAAGGGCCTACTGTATAGCATAGGGAATTTTACTCAATATCCTGTAATAAATTAATGGGAAAATAATCTGAAAATGAAAGAATATATGTATAACTGAATCACTTTGCTCTACACCTGAAACTATCACAATGTTATAGATCAATTATACCCCAATAAATATTTAAAGACATGTAATTTACATTTTTCTGATAAGATTAGGGATACTGTACTGAGTTCCTCATCAATGAATGCAGAGAATGGATACAGTGGAGTCACAGCTCATGAGCAGAAAGAGACTGATAAAGGGAAAACACATGGAAATCAGGCTGGCTGTATTCACCAACCACCAACTAGGATTATGAAAAATAGCAAGAGTAACATTAAAGATGCAGGACAAGGTGTGGAAACACATGAAGGTGCTCGCCAAGAGTAGGATGCTTTGGGTGGCTCTGGACTCAGCGGAGGGTCTGGGAGACACACTAGCCTTGTGAATATACTGGACTCGCTGACTGTGTCTGTACAGGGTGAGAATCATGGAGCCACTGGCCCAGAAGATGAGCACAGAAAATGAAACTTCAGGGAACACTATCAAAGCTACATATATTGAGCCTGAGATGTTCTCAACATCTGTGGCAACACAGTACCCTAAATCTCTTGTATTTCTCATGTTTGTGCTGTGCCATTTGTCAGAAACATATAATGCGTACAGAGGAAAAATGAGATTTACAAACAGGCACTGGATCGAGCAGAAGAAAATGAAGAAGGCAATGTACTTTGCGGCTTTGACTTTAAGATTCTTCCAACAGGAGTTCATGGGGCTGATCGTGATGGTCTGGAAGATAACCAAGAGGCAGGTGGTGCCGATGGACATACTCCTGCCCACTCTGTCAACATACAAAAGAAGTTTGCAGGAAAAATCACTGAACACATGTTTCCAACCCAAAGCTGTAATTGTCTGAGGGGCTCCTTTCGAGAGAATGATCAAGGAGTTGGTTATAGTCAGGTGTTTTAGAATCATAACTGTGGTTCTCATCCTGCATTGAGTGTGGTAAAGAAATAGGTAATGGTAAAGAAGGGAGAAATTGCCCAGAATTCCAATCATAATCTGTGATATGAATATTATTCCTAGGGCAAAATCTTTGGGGGTTATTTTTTTCATTCAATATTTTTAAATGAAAGTGTTCTCCTTCTTTTAAAGGGTTTTTATCTTTCTTATTTATTTGTTAGGCTGCACCAGATCTTTGATCTTCAGTGTGGCATATGGGATCTAGTTCCCTGATCAGGGATTGAACCCAGGCCCCCTGCATTGGGAGTACTGAGTCTCAGCTACTGGAATACCACAGATGTCCCCAAAATATTTTCCATTAAATAGTGACAGTCATTCTTCTGAGTTAAATGTCTCATTGATGTTTTTTGACAGCAAGTGTAATGTTACTTTTGTGCTCCTATTGGTTTGCCAATGTTTCATGAGACAGGAAGATATGGAGAGATAGCTGGTGTATTTCAAGGAAAAGTCAGCAATGAGGATGAAGAAGAGTTAACCTGGAGGAAGCAATGACAAGTGAGAGTAATTGGAAAGAGAGCTTATTACAACATTTCAAGAATAAGCTGAAATTTGCTAGCCAGATTAGAGAAAAGTAACACTTTAATCACAGCCCATACCATCAGACAAATCTATTCTGAATAGATTCCATTTCTAATTTTAAAAATTATGCAATTTTTAGAAAAACAATTTCAAAATTTTAAATTAAAAATATACCTGAAACACCATAAAACATATAAACCATATGGCAAAATGACTTTATCTTATCTTTAGCTTCTATTAAGACTGGCTCACATCAAAATGCACACATACACACACACACACACACACACACACAACACACACAAGATTTGTCACCAGCACAAAGAACTCCTAAAGACCATATAGTAGAATAAAACATGACCAAACTGTTTTCAACAGAAATTTCAATAGTTATTCAGCAGATAATACATATGTAAACAACATTCAATGTCCTTAGGAATCAGGAAAAGGAAAATATAACCATTACCTACACATCAAACACCATCCAGAAAACTAGAAAGGAAATGACAGAAATACAATGTTTTGGCAAAGATGTGGGTCAACTAAGAATCTCAATCAGATATTAAAACTGGAACAAAGATTTTGGAGATTAGACGTAATCTTATGTTTCAACAGTTCCTCTCCTATGTGTATCATCAAGACTAGTAGAATTTATATGCTAGCACTTACTATTACTCATGTGTGTGTGCATGCTCAGTCACTTCAGTCATGTCTGATTATTTGAGACTCTATGGACTGTAGCCCTCCAGGGATTCTCCAGGCAAGAATATTGGAGTGGGTTGCCATGCCCTCTTCCCGGGGATCTTCCCAATGCAGGAATCAGACCTGTGTCTTCTGAACGGCTGGCAGATATTTACCCACCGAGCCACCTGGGAAGCCCACACATTGCTTATAATAGCCCTAAAATAAAAACTACCCAGTTGTTCATGAACAGTAGAATAAATCAGTAGAATTAATCCTTTGATAATTACACAGTGAAGACCTATATAGCAATGCTAATGTATACTAAAAATTAAATGCAATAATATGAAAAGTAGTCATGTGTGGATGTGAGAGTTGGATCAGAAAGAAAGCTGAGTGCCGAAGAATAGATGCTTTCAAATTTTGGTGCTAGAGAAGTCTCTTGAGAGTCCCTTGGGCTGAAAGGAGATCAAACCCGTCAATCCTATAGGAAATCAACCCTGAATATTCATTGGAAGGACTGATGCTGAAGTTCCAATACTTTGGCCACCTGGTGTGAAGAGACGACTCACTGGAAAAGACCCTGATTCTGGGAAAGGCAGGGCAGGAGGACAAGGGGGACCAGAGGATGAGACAGTTAGGTAGCATCACTAACTCAACAAACATGAGCTTGAGCAAACTCCGGGAGATAGGGAGGGGCAGGAAGCCCAGAGTGCTACAGTTCATGGGATTTCAAACAGTCAGACACAAGTTAATGAGTAGAACAACAACATACAAATAGATTCCCCAAAATCATATGCAACTGGGAGAAAAGGCCAATATGAAGGTTTTCAGACCCTATGATGCCATTTAAGTATAAAGCAGGTGAAAGTGATCTAATCTCTTAAATGTTAGAATAGTTGTAAAGCTCTTACCAAAAATCCTGACCTACAAATAGATTCAAGAAAACTATAGTCTTGGGAATAGAAACTTGGAGTATAAAGGGCTTCTAGGTGACCAACAACATTCAGTTTCATTCATATACATATATATATATAATTTTCTTTATTGAGTTTTGGCCATGTTGGGTCTTCCTTGTTGCACAGGCATTTCTCTAGTTTCAGAGAGCAGGGTCTACTCTCTAGTTGCGGTGCTGAGGCTTCTCATTGCAGTGGCTTCTTGTTGTGGAGCTCAAGCTCTAGGGTGTTCAGGCTGCATTCATTGCAGCATGTGAGCTCAGTATCTGTGGCTCCCGGGCTCTAGAGCATAGGCTCAATAGTTGGTGCATGAGCTTTATTGCTCTGCAGCGTGTGGAATCTTACCAGACCAGGGATCGAACCCACGTCTCCTGCATTGGCAGGCTGACTCCTTGCCACTGAGCCACCCAGGAAGCTCAACAGTCTGCTTTTTGATCCAGTCTTTGCCTACAGAGATGTGGTCATTCCTGAAACTCCACTAGGCTGTGTACTTATAACATGTGCATATGTTTTTAACTTAAAAAAACATCGATTACAAAAAACAGATTTTAAAGAGACTGGGAAAAAGCTGTTTCTCTGAATGTTGGATCTGCTGATTGTGTCTGTAAAGGATGAGCCTTTGAGAGCCACAGGTCCTGATCATTAGCCCAACAATGAACTTCAGACAATAACAACATGGCTGCATATAGTGAGTCACTGATTTTATAATTTAGAAGAGTGGTATCCCAGATCTTTGTTCTTTGTGTTCATCTATTGCTTCATTCGGCAAGTCTATGCACTGGGAATTGATATGCACCAGCTTATACAAGGTCCAGCAGAGGAATGTGAAACCTCCACTCCTTTGGAGCTTTTCATTTCTACCCAACTCTGGTTCCTGGGGAGGATCATGGTGGCTGGAGACACATAAGAGGCAGGTCTGTGAGGATAGAAAATTGGATATGTCATTGAAGACATGCTTTAACTAACAACTGCCAGTGTGGTGGGGATGCCTTAAAGAGAATGACCAAGAAGCAACTGTATATGCGTGCTTGAGGATCAAATGTGTGGATCTCAACCTTTAGGAAGAGATAATGGTAAAGGAAGAAAATGCTAGGATTCCTCCTGTAGCCTAAAATGAACAGACCCTTCTTTGCAAATCCCCAGAGGCTGTTCTGCCAGTTGCTGGTGACTGGTGTTTTGTCTTCAGAATGAGAAGATCCTGTTTTGGAACATATGCTGTGGGCTACAGTCATCAGATCAGTGGAAATCCCATATTTGCTTTGATAAATATTTACCTAAAGTAAGAGGACTCACAGAGTTGAATATGTAACCTCTAAATAGTGTTTATGATGGATGCATCACTATCATACTACATCACATGAGGTGCCTTCTTTGATTTTTGTACCTGCTGGAGGTACACTATTTTCCTGAGGGCATTATTTCCAGTATTTTCAGCATTATTTCAATAAGGAGACCTGAGGTGCAGAGAGTTGAATGGCCTGTGTAAATTCATATGCTGCTATGGGGCTGAGTGATAGGAACCTGGTAGGATAGTTGCCAAGACAGTGCCCTGACTACTGTGTTACACTAATGAATCATGTTAGCTCTGTTTTCAAATCATCCAGAGCTGAATTTCATTTTGTTTTTATACTTTTCCACCTAATTCACGTCATTTTAAAATTTTATTATATAATTATGGTTGTAAACAGTTTCTATTTTTAGGAACTTTAAAAATTTTTTTTAAGGGGGGTGAAATTGCTTTTATTTGTTTTAATATAAATTTATTTAATTGGAGGCTAATTACTTTACAATATTGTAATGGTTTTTGCCATACATTCACATGAATCAGCCATGGGTGTACATATGTTCCCCATCCTGAACCCCCCTCCCAACTCTCTCCCCTCAGGATCATCCCAGTGCACCAGTCCTGAGCATCCTGTCTCATGCATTGAACCTGGATTGGTGATCTATTTCACATATGATAATATACATGTTTCAATACTATTAGGCATTATTTTTTAGTCTAAGAATTTATCATAAGCAACTGTATATGCGTGCTTGAGGATCAAATGTGTGGATCTCAACCTTTAGGAAGAGATAATGGTAAAGGAAGAAAATGCTAGGATTCCTCCTGTAGCCTAAAATGAACAGACCCTTCTTTGCAAATCCCCAGAGGCTGTTCTGCCAGTTGCTGGTGACTGGTGTTTTGTCTTCAGAATGAGAAGATCCTGTTTTGGAACATATGCTGTGGGCTACAGTCATCAGATCAGTGGAAATCCCATATTTGCTTTGATAAATATTTACCTAAAGTAAGAGGACTCACAGAGTTGAATATGTAACCTCTAAATAGTGTTTATGATGGATGCATCACTATCATACTACATCACATGAGGTGCCTTCTTTGATTTTTGTACCTGCTGGAGGTACACTATTTTCCTGAGGGCATTATTTCCAGTATTTTCAGCATTATTTCAATAAGGAGACCTGAGGTGCAGAGAGTTGAATGGCCTGTGTAAATTCATATGCTGCTATGGGGCTGAGTGATAGGAACCTGGTAGGATAGTTGCCAAGACAGTGCCCTGACTACTGTGTTACACTAATGAATCATGTTAGCTCTGTTTTCAAATCATCCAGAGCTGAATTTCATTTTGTTTTTATACTTTTCCACCTAATTCACGTCATTTTAAAATTTTATTATATAATTATGGTTGTAAACAGTTTCTATTTTTAGGAACTTTAAAAATTTTTTTTAAGGGGGGTGAAATTGCTTTTATTTGTTTTAATATAAATTTATTTAATTGGAGGCTAATTACTTTACAATATTGTAATGGTTTTTGCCATACATTCACATGAATCAGCCATGGGTGTACATATGTTCCCCATCCTGAACCCCCCTCCCAACTCTCTCCCCTCAGGATCATCCCAGTGCACCAGTCCTGAGCATCCTGTCTCATGCATTGAACCTGGATTGGTGATCTATTTCACATATGATAATATACATGTTTCAATACTATTAGGCATTATTTTTTAGTCTAAGAATTTATCATACGGTCAGTATCAAATATAAATGATTTTTTGAGGTCATAATAAAGTACAGATGCAGTTTCACAGACTACTGTTACAGTAAATGTCCAAATTGGATTTAACTATGCAAGATTTGTTTAGCATTAGTTGGCCACAGAAAGGCTCATTTGCTCATTCCAGGAACAAAACACAATGGTATCTATCAAATAAATTATTGGATGATAAATCCTTCTCCACTAAACTGTAACGCATGAAATACTTCTCTGTGATAAAAAAGAGTGTAGCTCTTTTACCTGTTATTAATAATTTTGGTCTAAATGTCTAGGTATTTATTAATGCTTACAATAAGTAAAACTGTTAACAATGAAGCAAGATTTGTGAAAGGTGTTAAAATACAACAGACATGTATTTTATGCAT